ACACATACCTTTATAAATAAACATGTACACAACACATACACAAAAACGGCACTCAAGTACATAATACATTGACAAAAACAGTACTAGACTGTCTCGCTTTGATTTCGGAATGCTTACACATTGAGAAGTTAGTTTACTGCCAATGTAGAAGTATTAGAAAGTCCTGATTTCGAAATGAGTGGTAATATCCAACTAGGTAGTTGACTCGATTCTAAACATTTCTATTAATAGGTTTAAGGAATTTTTCCTGAGAGAAACTATTATAGCAATTATCAAAGGACACCGGAAGTTGGCGTTGTATGAGTAGGATTTTTACGTAAGTATTTGAAGACGCATTTCACAGGATCAGCAATGGTAGTTTAATGATCGATCAAAACTCGATTTGTCGTCATCTTTAATATTAAGCTGAATAGCACGCAAGGTAAATTAGGTTCTCATAATTTTCTTAGTCGTTACAGAGTTAAGGACATTTCTGTAATACTATGCATTTTTAGTGTTTTTCTTAAGGGACAAGTACCTTGCGGCGCCGTGCGGTGGAGGGTGATTCGTGCAAAAATACTTCGTGCACTTTAAACTAATAGAAAAACCAATTTTAGTTGCGTTCACTTGCGTCCATGTCATTAATCTTCCATAGACTGAACGCTTAACATTGGCAGATCCCTATAAAAGTTGCAGGAAAAAGTTGCTGAAATTCGCTGTTTGAAACACTTTCACTAAGGAAAGAAAAGGTACGAAAACTGGTGAAAATTGGCGAACTGCCACGCCTACTACACAAGGGGGCGGATATGGTAACTGTAATCGGATTTCAATGAAACTTGGTTTGTAACTTGGATTAATCTAGGAAGACGTAAATCTGAGATATGGTAAACCTAGGTCGACTGCCTCGCCCACCAGCCATACGAATTCTGAATTCTAATGTGGCAAGGACTAGTAACGATCCACCAAAATACCAAAAATTTCGTGCAAGATCAACTTTTGCATGAAAATGCAGAATGATTAAAAATAGTGCGTGTTGGCGACCAGCCACGCCCCTCTCACTAGTATTTCGATATATAAAGGGAGTGTGGCATCTCCCATACAAATCGAATTTTTCATACCTTATATCTCTGGAAGTATAAGTGGAAGAGTCCTGGAACTTGGTATGGAGATATTTGAAATCAATCCCGTACTCATAGAAAAAATGGGGGTTATTGGAAAATGGGGCGTGGCGACTTCCAAACAAAGGTCAACAAAAATAGAAAGAAAAACAAAATGGTTGTGGCAAATATTAAAGCGGTTTTTAATAGACTTTTTTGTGCTGATTACGAATCCGTAAGAAAACGCGATTTTTTGACACTTTGACCAGGTTTTACTCAAAATCTGGAGCTGAGGGGAACTTTATGCCTACGGATTCATAATCAGCACAAAAAAAGTCTATAAAAACGTTTGGCGCTTCAAAATCAGTTTTGCCCGGTGTAATTCTTCGGAATGTGTGTTTGTGAGTGGAGTCGCCCTAAACGACCGAAACGATTGTGATGAAATTTTTTTTATGTATAACTTAAAACGCAAGGAGTCGAGTTGTTACTAAAAATCTTATTAATTATCCGATTTGGATCATATTCGATATATATAGTGTATTGGTAACGCTAGGGGCTAAAACGAGCTGCAAGGTGAAACAAGTCTATGTATATTGAATTTGTGTTGACCAATACTTCTCTTTTTGAATTTGCCACCAACTGTATTGTAAATATTCAGGGACGATTCAACATCGAACCGGATCATTGTTGCCGCAAAAACTTCTTCACGGCATAACGCTTTCGTTAGGTTATTTAAGACGGCAACGGAGGATATGCCTTCTGACGGCCACAAAACCAAACGTAAACGTGAATTATAGGTGAAAACGTTGGACCAAATGTTCCAATAAAAAATTAATTTTGGGTGGGACGAAGTTCGCCGGGTGTGCTAGTTTATTTAATAAGTCTATAGTAAATTTTATCCTTACAGACTATTACATTAATTACAGGGACGCCAATAAAGGCACCATTGGATGTACCATTAGATATCCTATAATACGCTTCGTTAGGATATTAGTGGAATTCGCGCTTCTGTGTATTCGCTGTATCCTGCGTAACTGCAACTGGACGAGCGTGTGGTGGTTGTTGCATATATATTTGATGTACCGCTAGCAACAACAAATCACACGCTCGTGTAGTTACAATTACACAACATACAACGAATACACAGAAGAGCGAATTCCGCTATTGTATTATTGAATATATCTTGCCGTTAGAGCAACAGATCTAACCGAATTAACAACAGTTCGGACTGTTCTACACCGAAACGCGGGCGCGAACACGGATACATTATATTAGCCTCATAAACTAAACAGCTACGGCTACATATTACCATTATTTATTTAAAACGCTGAGTAAAGTTTCCATAATTATAAAAGGCGAGTAGGAGCTATCAAAATATTCGTAATGCTTATTAAAGTCGTGTCATAGCAATGAAAAGCATTATGCATTTCAAAGCTTGTCCTACAAATTGCTTAGCGAAATAGGCTTATAATGTCTTGACGGCCTTATAGGAATACAAAAGTTGATCTCGTTCGGTAAAAACGGGACTACTCACTAGCCCATTCAGAAGTTTTATACGAACTAGCAGACCCGGCGAACTTCGTCCCGTCCTAAATTAATTTTTTTATTAAAACATTTGGTCCAACGATTTCACCAACAATTTACGTTCACGTTTGGCTTTGTGGTTGTCGGAAAGCATATCCTTTATTGCCATCTAAAATAACCTAATGAAAGCATTATCTGAAGAATCTCTTGCAGCAACAATGATCCAGTTCGATGGTGAATTGTCCTTGAATCTGTAGAGTACAGTTGTTGGCAATTACAAAATTGGGGAGTATCATTGGTTCTCAGAAACCAAATATCCATACACTTATTTCAGACGAAATAACCTAAATATCTTACAGTTGTATTTGTAGATATTTATCAAGACTTGTCTTTATTCGGTTTAGTCGTCGTTTAGCAAGGGTCGCAATGGTTTGTGGTTGATATAGCGGTGGTAATTTGACTGGTGTCTCCGAGTGACTTCGCTTGATAATTTTTAACAATAACTCGACTCCAGTGCCACCTTGCAGCACGTACCGAAGAATTATATGTATTTACAGATATGTAAGGGTTTCAGTATGTTTGGAAGGCGCCACGCCCCCTTCTCCATGATATGGGATATGGGGCTCTACCACAAATACTTCCAGAGATATACGGTAGGAAAATTTCCATTTGAATGGAAGTTGCCACACTCCCCTGATATGTACATCGACATTATTATAAGCCTCTGACCATCCTTAGAAAATCTGCAGTATGTGTTCAAAATTTCAACAATCGGTATTAAGCTACCTACTTGCCAAATTTCAAGCAAATCGGGCAATAACGAAGATTGTTTCGAATGGAGCGGTCCCTGGTCCACCTATTTATCAGAAAGAAATTCTTTATGTTAATCCAGGCAAATTGGTATCTATTCCTCTTCTTCTTCTTTTTTGGCCCTGTAACCGCCTAAGCGATTTTGGCCGAGTTCAGCAAAGCACGCCAGTCGTGTCTCCTCTGTGCCAACTGACACCAACGGGAAACGCCAAGTGAAGCGAAGTCCTTCTCCACCTGATCTTTCCATCGCAGTGGGGGCCTCCCTATTTCTCTGCTACCACCAGCGGGTTCCGAGTTGAATACTTTCAGAGCTGGAGCGTCGGTGTCCATTCGAACGACATGACCAAGCCGGAGGCCGAAGCCGCTGTATTTTAATTCGCTACACTATGTCCATATCGTTGTTAAGCTCATACAGCTCATCGTTCCATCGTCTGCGGTACTCGCAAAATCTTTCTCCATGCTTCTGGGCCATATACCAGCACGGGCATGATGAGTGACTTATAGAGCGTGGTTTTCGTACGTCGAGAGAGGCCTTTACTCGTGAATTGCCTACTCACTCCAAAGTAGCACTTGTTGGCAAGAGTGATTCTGCGTTGGATTTCAATGCTGACATTATTGTCGGTGTCAATGCTGGTTCCCAAGTAAACGAAATTCTCTACTTTCTCGAAATTGTAACTGTCCACAGTGACGTGGGTGCCAAGGCGCGAATATGCTGACTGTTTATTTGATGATAGGAGATACTTCGTCTTGTCCTCGTTTACCACCAGACCCATTCACTTTACTTCCCTATCCAACTTGGAAAAGGCAGAACAGACTTCGCGGTTTTTGTTACCGATGATGTCGATGTCATCGGCATAAGCCAGTAAACGCTCTTGTAGTACATTGTTCCTGAGCGGTTCAGTTCTGCAGCTCTTATTATCTTCTCCAACATCAGATTAAAGAAGTCACATGAAAGGGAGTC